TACATGGTTTCTTCAAAGTCGTATATATTCTTCTTATGAATAACCAGGAAGCTATATTATTTATTGCATGCCTTTATACACTTAAAGTAATAAATACTTATAAATACTTATCGGTGCACTATGTAAACCAAGAGGGGGACAAGACAATAGGGGTGACAGGCGGGGTACTAATAGCTGAGCGAAACAATGACTACCAAGGGTAGTAGCTATCAGATCTGAGCTGATTTATTTCCAGCACAGTCCAAATTACGAGCAAATTGATGAGGAAAGTCAGCGTAGATGTGGCGGTGTTGATGGCAACAAAAAAATTCCACGTTGGGAAGACTGATGCTGGAAGATGGGTAATGTTTGGTGGATCAAAATCGAAAGTTACGTAAGTGATTAGACTCTCCTTGTTAAGGTCTCTTACTTGTACACAAATATTGCTACGAGAGATAAATATTTTCAAAAGGTTTCCTCTGTTAAGTGCTGTGCAAAAATACATTTACTGAGGAAATTACAACTTAATTGTTTGACTTGAAACAAAAAGTTAAGAAACAAAGGTCTTGCACAAAAGCAGGGTCAATAGATGAAAACCTATTTAAAAAGAAAGATTCTGTAAAAGGGAAGTATTCTAGTCCATCAGTAATCAAGTTTTCAGTGTCCGATAACTTTCGATAGTTTGGAAAACCGTCCTTGTTGATTTATCGATTAAACAATCTTGACTGAGTTTGATGAGTAGGATTTAAACTGTATGTAGACGGCAATATATATCAGATCGTATAAAGTATTTTTGAGAACCGTCGGTGAGCCTCGCAAACTCACAAACAACAGGTTTTGCTCAATAGAAAATGGAAAACTGTAATTAAGTTATGAACTTCTATGAATCTATTGAGTCAAGGCGCACGGAACATGAAGTTCTAAGGCCTAGGACAAACGTCGAACTTTCAATGCACCGAACTCATTAAAAACAATGGATATCAGGTGATAATGAGGCGACATTCTTTGATGTAATTAAGTTCGGTGCATGGAAAGTTCGACGTTTGCCTTATGCCTTAGGCTTATTTCTTTTTTTCTTTCTTACAAATTAGCTATTGAACTTTATAACACTGAAAGGAACCTTACAAACAGCTGCACTGATTCTCGGTGAACAGTTACTTTGGCAATCTTCGCACGACCGAATCAAATCACTCTTACTATATTGTCAGCACTTCCATTTTATATTGCTGTTTTTCAGTTGCAATACACACATGCGCCTATTAAGCGCGTTTTTTTTTTTTTTTTTTTTTTTTTTTTTTTTTTTTTTTTTTTTTTTTTTTTTTTTTTCGTTATTTCAACCAGTCAGCTATTACTGTGTAACGACGCTTTGAGACAAAGTCCCGTTCGATAATGTAGACGGTAAACGCCTTTCATTTGCATAGTCAGAATATAAATCATAGTCAAAGGCTGAGTAACGGCACCCATACATGCATCAGATATCGCAAGATGGCTTTTCGAATTTGCGTACTCCTGCCATATAAAGTTTAAATTTTATAATAAGTAGATAATAGAAAATTGCCTTCGAGTGCGTCATCGTTTCATGAGCTTTGGTTTATGCTCTTTTGCTTTTCGAATTTGCGTACTCCTGTCATATAATGGCTATGTAAAGTTTATATTTTCGGGTCATTACTGTTGTAAGTATATGTGAAAGTACATATAGAAAACAATTTGCGCGTCGTTTATGGAATCTTGAGGTCAATGCGATTTGTGTCCAAAAGGAACATATAGGTTTATTATCGTCTATACTGAGTGGAATATGGTTTTAGAGATTGGACTAAAGAGATAGAATAAGAGCATCTCTCCATAAATACTGATGGTCCCACTCAAAACAGGGGGAAGAGAAAATCTCAATGTTGTTAACGTGTTATAACATTCACTACTCTTAAAGTGCTACTCTGACGAAAATCGCTCAAACTTGGATTCAGCTGAAACTTCCTAAGAATACTCTTTAAAGG